CTTTATTAAATAGGCTATCTTTCCTCCAATGAGGGTGGTTGGCTCCTTTGTCAAAGATGAGGTGGCTGAGCATTTCTGGAGTTGTTTCTGAATCTTCTAATCTATTCCACTGATCCTCAGGTCTATTCCTTTGCCAGTACCATGCTGTTTTTATTACAGTAGCTTTGTAGTATAGTTTCAATCCTAAATATATATGCACCAAATACAAATGTCCCCAACTATACAAAACAAATATTAATAGACATGAAAAACCAAATAAACACTAACACAATTGTAGTGGGGGACCTCAATACCCTACTATCACAAATAGACAGATCATCTAGACATAAAGTTAACAAGGAAATTCTAAAACTGAACCAAGCTATTGAACAAATGGACTTAATAGATTTTTACAGAGAACATTTTTAAACTTCAAAGAATCTTTAATTTAATTTTACATATAAGAGCTTTCAACAATCAATTTTCTTATTTATCCTTCAGAAATGGCTTATATTATCACCTGCATTCTAATGTTTTTCACCACTCCCATTTGCCTGAGCTCACAAAAAAGTTCTTCAGAGCTGTTCTGCAAACCAAACAGTTATCATGTATTTATATTTACTGCTTTGGTTTTGATGTCTTTGTGTCTGTTCCCAAAATAAGTCGTCAGTTGCAAATTTATAACTTTTCTCCTCATCCAAAGTTCATGTCTGTTTTCTATATCTTCCATATGTATGGCCCAGTTCTTTTCTATCTTCTTTCTTTTTCATTTTCTAAATGTTCTAATGATGCAGAAGGAATAGAGCCCAGAGACCTAAGTGTGCACATCCACAATTGTTGAAGTTTCAGCTATTACATCTTCCATCCCTACCTTGTACACTTTGGGTTCCTGTATCTTTCCCAAAGGGAAACTCAGGAAAATGATCCTTTACACATGTGACTCAGCCCATGTGCATATTTCTTTAATAAACCAATAGAGGAAATACAATAAAACCAGTAGCGAGTTGTTGAAGAGATGAACAAAATTGATAATCTTCTACAATTGACAAAGAGTAAAAGAAGATACAAACTGTGAGTGTCAAGAATGGAAGTAAGGACCTTGCTTTGGAGCTCTACTGACTTTATAGGTCAATCAGACAATTCTTTGAACTGGATGGCAATAAAATGCCACCACTGCTGGCATGGAAATGTTTTTTGAAAGATAGAAAATACCTGTACTTACTAAAAACAGACAACTTGAATTAACCTTTATCTATTGAAGGGATTCAATTCATAATAAGAAATCTTGAGGAAGCAAATATAAAAAGCAAACTTCACACTTCTCAGTCCCAGTTCTCTGTTCTCTGTTCACTATTCTCAGTCATCCAAGTATTTGTAGACCCATGCAGAATTCAAGTGGCACTGGCTTTTGAGTCCAGCAGATACAGGAGGTGTGGTTTCAGGAAGGTTTTCACCCCTATATCAGCAGAAGGCCTGGGATACCAGGCAGTCTGCCTCTGAGAAGGCAGAATGTGCAACTGTGAAGGTAAAAGTGCAGCAGACATTCCTTTTTACTTTTCCAACTTCCTACTTCTCCTGTTTACTAGTGATCTTTCCACTCTGTGGAAAGATGGGATCTGTATACACTGTGCACAAGGAGAGTTAACAGAGTAATTCGGTCGTTGGAGGTGTTGTCTCAGAGGTGGTTCTTGTGAGATTTACTGGTAGTTATTCAGAGAGAGTTGTTGTAGATGCCTGAGTTAGGCTTTTCCCAGTCTCTCTGCTCCTGGCTTGATGTAATCACCTGTGTGCAGGTGCTCCTGCCACTGCCTTCCACCATTTTCCATGAGGTCCTCATTGGAGCTGAACCAATGCAGATGTCTCAGAACCTTTAAAACTGTAATCCAAATAAACCTTTTGTCTTTATATAGAGAGCTAACAAGAAATTATCCTGAGACAAATAATGATAAATACACAACAAATCAAAATTTTTGGGATGCAGTAAAACAATGACATGAATGTATAGCAGTAAGGCATAAATTTTTAAAAATGCAGAATGCAGAGAACACCCAGGACAATTGATCTATAATGGAAGATTTGTGTCACATACATTTGTCATAAATCAGCATCTAGTAAAAATAGATTCAGAAGAAATGTGGACTTTGAGTAAATACACACCTGAGTGAACCTTGATGGTTGTGCAAAAGGGATTAAAATGTAGTCCCGATATAGTGTTTATTTATAATACTTGGTGTCACCCATTTGAATGTGCATTTGGCAAACTCCTGCCTGAAATATGTCTGTGCTTCACAACTGTATCAGTCAGTGCTCATGGAAGAAACAGACTTAATGTAAGATAAATACATACATGAGGGTTTCCATGGCAGGTTTACAGTGCCTGGCTGCAGAGTCAAGTGTGGAAGAGTCCAAAGTGGCTGTCTGCTTACTGAAGACCTGAAGGAATCAAAGTTCCAAGGCCTGGTGCTCAGCATAGTGTCTTGTGTGTGTCTGTATCAGAAGGCCGAAGGGTCTGGGCTGGGAGACCACATCGAAGGTGAGGGTGAAGACTGGAGCTCCTCTGAAGAAAGAAAAGCAAGCCTTCTTTTTTTTTTTCCATTCAGGCAAGTAGCCTATTTACTGGGGCCGGTCACACACAGGGTGCGTCTTCTGTCTTCAGGTAAGTCATCCATGCCAACCCAGAAGTATCCTGATCCAATTAGTTGGATATTTCTTATTTAAGTTGATAAATTTCATTAATTATCACAAGAACTATTAAATGAAATTTGAACCATATTTAATTTAATTTAATTTGGCTTGAAGCAGCCTATCTACTTTTAGTCCCTATATAGTATATCATAAACTTACCTGGAAATAAAGTGAATAAGTAACAAGTAGCTGATTCTCAGCCAAACACAGCAGCCAAGTTTCAGCCAATCACAGGCTGCCAACTAATCAAGCTATGTCCAAATAAAGCGAATGCTGAATATAATAAAACCTACTGCTCCACAACTTCATTTCTGCTTTCTGGCTCAAAATACTCCTTGCTCCCATTATGAGGTGAAGCTGTCTAAACTTTCTTTGGTTCTGAGTGCTATCCAATTTATGAATCAGATTTTGCTCTATTAAACTTGGTACATTGCATTAGTCTAAGGTTTTTCTTTTTACAGAACTCATGAGTAATTTTCCTGCCTTCTTTTCATTTTGTTCATAGGGTCTGCTATAACAAACAAGTCAATATGCCCCTAAGAATTTATCTGAAATGCAGGAATTAGACCAGAGTCATATTCAGTGACTCTTTTGCATAATTAATCCCCATAACAAGTCCTAA